GATGGATGGATGGATGGATGGATGGATGGATGCTGAATTTGAGATTTTCATTTGTTGTCATTTGTAATCATCAAAATTAAACGAAATAAACATTTGAAATATATGAGTTTGTATGTAATGTATGAATATAATATACAAGTTTCACTTTTTAAATGGAAWTACTGAAATAAATCTACTTTTTCATGATATTCTAATTTTATGACCAGCACCTGTATTGTAAATAAATTTAATTATTGTATTTCTGCGTATAATGCCAAAAAAATTGTTCATAAAGCTGTGGGGTCATATTATACATGCAAGTAAATGTTGACATTTTTTTTTTCATCATGTACTATCGYAATAAATTGCTCATTGAGCTGACGAGCAGACAAACTAACAAGCGGCTCCTGCTGTTAAACCTGACCTTTTTAGCAACATGCAGAATTTCACACTGTTCCTCAGAAGCCTTTGCTCCGCAGTGACAAACGCCCACACAGGGTACACAGCAAAGGCTAAAACATCCTGAAGTCTGTATGACATTAGGGGTAGTATTCCTCACGAGGATTAGATATTTATGCTTTTAAGCTCAAAATCAGAGGGTCGTATTAGACTCGCGATTGCATTATTCACGCATAAATACTGTATTTTGAAAACCGTTCCTTTTGGCGATGCCATCACGTTTTTCCAATTTTCATCTTCCAGCAAGCTGCAAACATTGTGCGAGCCCTGGAGCTGTTTGTTAAACCAGATGTTTTGAGCGGAGAGAATGCCTACATGTGTGCAAAGTGAGTTTTCGTTTTATCATCATCAGACAGCGTCCAGGAAAATCTGCAGGATTCAAAGAGTTTCAGTTGTGAATAATATGAATTATTGTTCTTCAGGTGCAAAAAGAAAGTGCCGGCCACCAAACGGTTCACAGTCCATCGAACCTCTAACGTGCTGACGCTTTCACTGAAACGGTTTGCCAACTTTAGCGGAGGAAAAATAACAAAGGTTCGATTTTTATAATATTGATTGTTTTCAAGCAGATGTCTTTTTTTCATTTATATTAATTCTGACGTTTTTTTTTTTTAAATAGGATGTTGGTTACCCAGAGTTTCTGAACATCCGCCCCTACATGTCCCAGAGCTCAGGTGACCCTGTCATGTATGGCCTTTATGCTGTCCTGGTGCACTCTGGTTACAGCTGTCATGCTGGCCACTACTACTGCTACGTCAAGGTAGGCCTGCCAGCATATTCGTTAGCGTTTCTTTTAAAATATCAAGTTAACATATGTGACCCATCACATCCAAACGAGGATTAAGTCCAAAAGTGGAATGTGGAGAAACAGGCAGATATAGGGTTTTGTTTAAATGTGTGCAAAAATTGCATTTTGTCAAAATATAATGAAAAAAATGCATTGTCATTTGAATGAATTGTCTGAAATATAATCCTAAAAAAAAATTTAAAGCATTTTTTTGAGCAGTAGCAACAAAAAA